GGCGGGGCTGTTGTAGGTGTCCCACAGGGTTGGGTGGAGGAGGACTCGGCTGGCAACTGGCGCAGAGAATTTTTTTTTCTTTAGTAACTTGGTAGCTTGGTTTTCTTACTTGAGTCAATATATTTTCACTTATTTATTATTGAAATGAATACCATTACAATTAATGAAAAAGAATCTTGTAAATATGTTGTGAATATATATAAAGAAGATCCTCTTTCATGCCGATGCAGCCACTGGAGAACTTGCTCTGTGGAGTAATAGAAGCATTACTTTGGTAGGATTGAATAAAGTAGTATGTTTGTTTTTTTTTTGTTTTTTTGTTTTGCTTTTTTATGATCCCTGGTCACTTGTATCTAATGTGATTCTATACTCAGCAGTGGATGAATGTACTTAAAAACCTGTAAATAATTCTGCAAAGGTACTGATGCTGTAAAGCTTAGGGAGGGGGAAAAAACAGTTTTTTGTGGAACTGTGACATTTTTTGTATTATAATACCTTGTAGAACTCATTTTGCTGGCTGAAAGAGTATGGAATAATATATCTCATGTCATTTTGTAGAAGAAAAAAAATATTGAAGGTATTCTCTTCCCTTCCTCTTCCCTCACGCACCCTCCCCTCAACACACACACACAAGTAACATATATCCACTGTAAGCGTTTTGTCATTGTACGGGCACAGTGCGCGTACCAAAATTTTTTTGTATTTGTAAATTGGTTTAAATACATGGAGTTTTTATACAGGTTTTCTCCTGTGTTCTTTGCTTTACGTGCAGGTATGATATTTTCTTCACTACTTTTTTCTATCTTAATATAGTGTGGAGTTTTATTGTACTATTTTTTCATTCTTAATACCATGCCACATTCCGGCTCACGTCCTCAGACTGTCCTCTCTACCGTGTGTTGTGTAACATTTATGACTGCCTGTCGTATTAGCATCTGACCGGGGCGACCCAACCATCCTCATTTCTGCGGTGTCAGTAGGATGTGTGACTATACATAGACCTAACAGTCTGTTAGAGATTGGCTTTATTTACTTTGGTGACTGTTTATAGTTTTTAAATAAAACACTGAACATTTTGCTTTGGTTTTACGCTTGTTTCTTTTCTTTTTTCCTCCCATCAATTTCTCCCACTTTACTGTCTATCAAAGCACATGCAGCAGTTGATGTAGAGCAGTGATCCCCAACCAGGGGTACTTGTATTTCAGCTGGCACTTATGCAGTTGCCAGAACGTACATGGAAAGATTGTTGAGTAGCTCAAATACAAATACAAATACAAAAACATAAACCACAAAAACTGAGTGAGCTGTAGCACCCGAACACTGCTGCAACTGAGTGCAGAAAGTTTCTAGAACAGTTTAGTCTAAATTAAATAAAAGGTTGAAATAGTTGTCTAGAATTAATTGGAATGTTTGTTAGAGCTAAAAATGAATAAGCAATTGAATAGTAAAAGTAAATGGTTAAACCTTTGAAATAGTTTTATCTAAATCTAATAAAAGGTTGCAATAGTAAGCTAGAAGTAATATGAAACTTTAACAGTTAGCCCAAGGCTAAACAGTTGAAATAGCTCAAAGTAATGGATAAAGAGTTGAAAGATATCTAAATGTAATAACAGTAAGCTAAACATTAGCAGTTGAATAGTTGGCTAAAAGTGATGGATAAACAGATGAAATAGTTAGCTCAAAGTAATGGTAAATGGTTGAAATAGCTTAAAGAAATGGATAAATGATTGAAACGGTTAGCTGAAAGTAATGGATAAACAGTTAAAACGGCTAAAAGTAACAGATAAATGGTTGAAATAGCTAAAGGTAATGAATAAACAGCTGCTAAAAATAATGGATGATAACATCCATTTTAGAATAAATTCAAATGAACATGTTTGGAACGTGTCGTTGAAGGGGCACTTCAGTTCATCTGAAAAAAAAAGCTGGGGAACCACTGGTGTACAAACACCAACGGAGTCTTTTCCTGGATTCACCACTACACCCTGGGCTGTGTGCCAAATGAGAGACGTCTGAACAGATGCCAGTGTTTTTAATATTCAGCACTCAGTTTTCATGGAAGGTAGTTGGGACTTCAAACAGTCCTCTTGTCTGATATAACCTAACAAGCTTCATTTGCTGGCAAGCTCATCCTTTTGTTCTCTTTAACCACTGGACATTTTCCTTTGGCTCGTTCCTTTCAACATAATTGAATTGTTAATGACTTTGCTGAGCGCTCCGCTTCCCACAGCTCCCAAAACATACTTTGTGTGTTTAATCTTACATTACAGAGAACTTTCTGTATTCATCGATTCGATTCAACGGCTGTACAGTGTCACAGTTTGTTAGTGTTTAGAGCATAATATGAGATCTCTATGTGAGTTTATTTTTGCTTCCATCTTTGTTGTTGCTCAGTGCTCATTGCTGTACATCCAATTAGAAAGTGTAGGGAGTATTGTGTATTTACTGCTCAGGTGCTTTCTTTTTCACGTCATGGTAGCTATCACTGCTCATTTAACAACCACAAATGTAAAACATGAATTGTGTCCGCTTAAAATCCTTACTTAAATGTACTACTTACATTTTGCTTATCATTGCAGGAAAAAGCACGGGTGTTACTAATAACATTAATCATGGCTCTGTTCTTTTTATAAGTGTCCCAGTAATGCACAATATCAGTGCCCTGAAAGTGAAGCAGCTAAATGACAGGAACTAGGAAAAGAGATCACGTCTC